GAGGGGAACGGAGAATAAGATACATACACAAGTCATGCTTCCTGCACCACCCTGGTGTGGAACACACTGTTGACACCACCGAAACCGGCGTTCAAATTGTGTGTTTATTTATGTATTGGTTAGCTAGCTTGTAACCTTGAAGTTTAAAATATTAGATCTTCCTCTTCTAGGAAACAATTGAGCGATTTCGACTATGTACGACATTCTGCTCTCAAATCCACGTCTATTTGATCCTAGCTGCCCGACGACCTCATGCTGGATGCTCTCACTCGTCTCGGTGACACACAGTTAAAGAAAATGACAGAAACGCGTCTTCTTTCGACTTACGTGATCCCAGTTTTTGATCCTCCATCGCCGTCTCCTGCCTCCTCTTCTTGGTCTCGTGCAGTGGCTCGCACTATGCTGAATCTTATTCAGTTCGGTGGCCTGAATTACGACCGTCTTTACACTCGTCTCTACCGCTTACTCGACGACAGTCTCCTCTCTTGCCCTTATGCTGATCGGTTTTTGATTGACCTGGATGTCTACCTCAGTTCCTTGTACGCATTCACAGTCTACCAGTCCTGGTTATTTACGTTTTTTTTTAATTTTCCGATAGTGAGATTTTTTTTGCACCTCACTCATTTTCGAAATTTCCGTTGAAGCATTTTACAAGGATTTAAACAACTATCAGAAGATAATGCACAATCTCTGAACCATACTTTGCTGTCCATCGCGAATGTTTTTAGACTGTCTACAGTTCACGAAGCTGAAGCCCCACTGCGGCCGATAGTGTTTTTAGTCGGCAGACAAAACCACAAAATCTCTTTGGCCATTCCACAAGTTTCATCTATTTACGAAAAATTGCGATACTTTAATTGAGAACTCGACAGTTTCGAAGAAAATTAAAATCATACATAATGTTCACTGATTATAAAAGAAAGTATATTAGCTTTAATATAATAGTTGCTGAGCTTCGCACTTTTGTTAGTCAGGAAAATCCGCGCTCACACGTCTATATGAACACGAATTCGCCACAGTAAAAGGTTAAGACCATTTATCGCAATTTGTCCTGTATACTCAGAAACTTTGGAACCTACTCCGTTGTCTTTTGTCTTTGCCGATTCCACCTTATCAGTCCATAGCGCAAGTCGCTATGAGACAAGGCAAACCAGAACATGCGTGTTCCCTAAATAGATCGGTACTACCCATCATCATATTCTTGATCACAACTGACAAAACAACGGTTCAATAAGGAAGTGTTTCACTCCATGATCAAAAGCTCGTGGCTTAGAATTTCGGGTGATACCCACTTAGGATTGGGTATGACTATTTGATGATGGCTCACTCTCGAGCCCCGCTAGCAGCCATTCCATTCTCCCTTGTCTTTGTCGGTATTGTCCTTCTGACTATATAATTGGCCGCTGTGCGACTGCTAGCGGACTTCGAGTGTGTGCCCGAAGGCACAACGGGACGAGTGCGTCCTGTAACCGATCGGTGTGCGCCTATCTTCCACTGTGTATATTCCCGACCGAAACCGGCAAGGCAACGAACTCGTGGCACAATTTTTAGAGCGATGGACTTCTAACTTCCAAAGCCGCGGATGCGAACTTCGGACTGGGCATCACTTGGGTTTAGGTATGACTGGCTGATGACGCTAACGAGCCAGAAAAGGGCATTCTATGCCGGTTTCGATCGGGAATATACACTATGGTCGATGAACGCTCGACGATCAGTGCGGAACTCGCTCGTTCCCGAGCCCCGCCAGCAGCCGTTCGGCAGCTAGCATATTATAGGTAGAAATATTTCACCGAAAAAGACAAGGGAGACTGGAATGGCCATTAGTAATCAGAACGTCTGTCTCCGATCAAACAAATATAGAAAAATATATTGGTTGATCAGTACTTCCCGAGCGGTTATAAGATTCATTCGTCTGGTTGTGCCGTGGGGCTCACCAT